TTGTGTGTGTGTGTGTGTGTGTGTGTGTGTGTGTGCATGTGTGTTCTCGTGTAATATTTACTTTAGCTTTACCTCCTTTCTTAGATCGTAAGATATTCACGTTTTGATAACGACAATTACTCGTGTGAGCCGTTTTATAGTTGGCTGGAGTAAAATTGTTAGGTAAAAAATATTCCAATATCCGCGCATTTATTATTGATACTGTGATATTATGTAAACACAGACAGACAAAATCCTGGATTTCAAATTGTCTTGAGCACCGAAAGACATTGACAAATCCTGCCGAAGCATCAGTTGAGACCTGAAATCGCTTGAGAGTCTTGCTCTCAACAAAATGTCTGTGTCGATTGGTGCTCTGATTGGCATGCTGCAACTTATATTTTTGACAATCTCGTATTGTCTGCCCACTCTGTACCTTGGACTTCATGCATACATGTACTGAAAAAAATGCAGCTTGGCGTGCGGGCTAGGGGAAAAATCAAATCGAACTTTTATTGCGGTTTTTATATTAAAAATCAAGCCTTGGGGAGGTAATTACTATCTATTCGACGCTTCTTAAGTGCGTAGATATATTATCATTTATCATGTCCCTGTTGCATGAACATTTTATGCGACAGCTGTGTTATTTTCTTACTCAACTGTGTGACCAATTTGATAAGCTTTCATTCATTGATACTTACAGTGTATTCTTATTTTCAAATTAAAAGCGCTACATTCCGAATTGTCAGGTTTTTCTCTTGCTAGAAGCGTGTTGCAGAATTCTGATGTTCACTTCCTTTTTCTAATTCGTTTGGGAGACGAACATTGCTTGGATATAAAGGAAAGGGGAAGAGGGACTGATGGAAAAAAAGAGGGGGAGGGGGGTATTAATACACTCACTCACTCACAAAATAAATGATATGTATTTAAACAAAAAAGAAACTGCACACCCCTGTTTCTGTTCTCTCTTTATCATACAAGCAAGCGAAGAAGAGAAAATGGATTAAGGGATAGTTACAATTCAAATTGCAAGCAGCGCGTACAAAAAGTTACATTCTCATTATCATCCGGAAAGCGTATGATTTTGATAGATAGATAGATAAACAGATAGATAGGGTGGATGAGAAAGGGAGTGAGAGAGAAATAGAAGGGAGATAGGGGGGGGGAGCGAGAGAGAGGAGAGAAAATTGAAGGGTGGGGTGTGAGTGCATGTGTGAGAGCATGT